TGCTCGGGATAATCATGCATGAACGCCGCCATGCGAGCGGCCTCGCTTTCTTCGTGCGTTTGGTCATAATTTCGTTCCGCGCGCAACTCGCGTGTTCGGTGAGCATCCACGTTAAAAGCTCGGGGTAGTGGAAACCCATAATCGGCAGTAATTTTCCCACTCCTCGCCAAGCATTCTTGCAAATGCTGCAAGGCGAGCTGTTCGACTACAACGTCGGGGTACCGGATACGGAAGTCTTCCCAGAATTCGGGCGCAAATGTATCCCACAAGCAGAAGGGGTCGGCTACCTCGCAACAAATCAGAATCATCGCTAGGAAGCGTCTCGCTCGTGCGGCCGTGGCCACAGCCAACACGTCGCGCAACGTAGCATGATAGTGCTCGTCCGAGTCGCACAGTCCACGCGCTGTCGTTGCAGCTTGAAAGGTAGGCAAGAGCTCGCCCTCCATGGTTCGCAAATTTTCGAATCCGCAGGCTCCCGGCTGCGCGAGCAGAAGCAAGAAAAGGTAGAATCATTCTCCTTCTATTGGGCCACATTCACGAGTCGCCCGATCACCTTGCAGGCAGCAACGCGGCTGCGTATCTTCCATGCCTTCGCGGAGCGGTCCCAGACGCACTGCTTAGGAATGTCATGATAATACGTGACAAGTATGCCAAGCTCATCGGACCCAGATTCGCGCACGTACTTATTCATCTCAAGCCACGCAATGAGTGTACTACAGTGCCGTCTAACATCACGATTCGTTTGTACTTACTCGCCCTCCTCGAAGAAGATCTGCTTCTCGCCAAGTACATGAGTGGCCAAGCGTTGCGTAGAATACGAATTGCCGTGAAGCGGAAATTCGAGCAAGCGCCATGTTGCCTCATCGGGGCCGACCCATCTTACATCGCTTTTCTACAATATTCCCACCGATGCAAGTCAAAGCGACACCACACTACTCGGCTTCTAACATCCCATGCTCGGCTAGCAGATTTCCCACCGATGCAAATCAAAGCGGCACCACGCTACTCGGCTTCTAACATCCCATGCTCGGCTAGCAGTATTCCCAACGACGCAAGTCAAAGCACGCAAGTCAAAGCGGCACCACACTACTCGCTTCTGACATCCCATGCTCGGCTAGCAACGTTCCCACCGATGCAAGTCAAAGCGGCACCACGCTACTCGGCTTCTGACATCCCATGCTCGGCTAGCAATTCCCACCGATGAAAGTCAAAGCGGCACCAAACTATTCGGCTTCTGACATCCCATGCTCGGCTAGCAGTGTTCCCACCGATGCAAGTCAAAGCGGCACCACGCTACTCGGTTTCTGACATCCATGCTCGGCTAGCAGTATTCCCACCGGTGCAAGTCAAAGTGGCACCACACCTGACATCCCCTGCTCGGCTAGCAGTATTCCCACCGATGCAAGTCAAAGTGGCACCACGCTACTCGACTTCTGCCATCCCATGCTCGGCTAGCAGTATTCCCACCGCTGCAAGTCAAAGCGACACCACACTACTCGGCTTCTGACATCCCATGTTCGGCTAGCAGTGATCCCACCGCCGACGCAAGTCAAAGCGGTACCACGCTACACGGCTTCTGACATCCCATGCTCGGCTAGCAGTGTTCCCACCGATGCAAATCAAAGCGGCACCACGCTACTCGGCTTCTGACATCCCATGCTCGGCTAGCAGTGTTCCCACCATGATACGTCCGGCCTGCCGGGAAGCGTTGCCCCGATCTCGGGGTCCAGCTGGACGGCGAGCAGCGTAAAAATCAGATACGACCTGGCTGACACGCAAGCCCGAGACAAAATGGGCGGCGTGGATTCTGCAAATATCTTGCAATCGTAGGGAAGGTTCATATTCAGAAGATCCAGAGATTCAGTGCTCTGAGCCCTTGCGGATAAAGCCAAGATGCCTGCTGCCATGTTTCAGCTACACTTGCACGACGTGTTGCGAGCATTGGGAAGCTTGAAAACAAAAGCCATGCTAGAATCATGCCCTACGCTTCGTGCCTTCGGCCATGGGCAGCGAAAACTAACACCTGAAAAGAGATCCCTGAACGCATTCCGCTGCAATAGCCCATGCCTCTAACGTCGACCTCACAAAGCTAATCGGAAGGGACCTGCTGGCACGCGCGAGGTGGGAAGTGTAAGTTCCGTACGCCTTCATGCGGATCCATTCGGCTCCATGCGGCTTCGGTGGGTTTGGGGGTAAGCCCGTCCTCAATGCATCCCCGAGTTGTGCTGCGTTTGCCCGTGACATGCGCTCTAATGCCCCGAGCTGTGCTCCGCTTAACCACGACATACGTTCTAATTCATGCAGCAAGAATACGGGCATCCAAGATAAGAAGGCTGTATCCGTTTCCTAAATTTCCTGAAAATTTTGGGTGTGTAAATTTTCGGGAAATTTAGGAAAGCGATGAAGCAAATTTTCCGGAAATTTAGGGATCGAGGCTTCAGGCTACCCGGAACCAGAAATTGTCCAGAAATTTAGGGGAACGAATCCGGCTTGCGGCCGTTGAAGAGGCCTAGCCTTTCAAAGGGCACAGCCCAGGCCCCAAAATTTTCCAGAAATTTTGGGTCCCGGGTAGGCCAAAGTGGCTTGCTCGCCGGGGTCCAGAAATTTCCGGAAAATTTTGGGGCTGGGGCGCTCCGAGGCGTGACGCACCGCATAGGGCTTGTTTGACCGTAGCGTTTTATAGAGTAGATAAAAACTAAAAACTTGAAATTACCCAAGAAAATATGAATAAAATATCTCGGGATCAATATGATTCCATATCCATATGATAATACTTTATTTCCAGAAATATGAACAAACAAATCTTCCATGAGTTTTTCTCAGATTGACACTCTAAAAGTCAAGATTGGCACCCTGTTGAATCGACAGCTTCGGGTTGAGGGTTTGGATGTCGCGCTCCTACGAGTGCTGTGGGACCATCATGAGACATGTTTATACACTCTAAGACCTTCAATTCCATCCGAGTTAGGGGCTTTGAGCGGCAAAGAAATATCAAGATCTCTCCATATTATCCCCCACAGCCTGGCCTAGCTGATCCTCACTAGATTTCCTGCAGGACCCCCTGCTCCTATGCCGTGCGAAGTTCCAAGACTCAACTCCTGGTGTTCAGGAGAGAGAGGAACATGTCTGTCTAAAGTGAGGTCGTGTGAGCCCTCGTGACCTCAGAGCCTTGTGGTGGGCTTGCCCTTGTGTTGGGCCTTAGGCCCGTGCTCTGACCTGCAGGACCCTCCCGCCGTGGCACTGTTGGCAGGCAGTGCCAAGTGAGCGCTGCCACAATGAAGGAGATCAAGCTGTATAGTATCGGCCCGAAGGGACGGAAGATGAAGAATTGAGAGAAGATCAAGACGCTGAAGGGGAGGATGCCAGCAAGCAGGAGTACCAGGTTTATGAACAGATCTGCAAGTCGGCATGAGCGTTCGGCCTGCAGCATCCACGCCAGGTGAAACAAGATCCGGAAGAAGATCGGACACAAGGCCAGCCAGTAAGTTAGGCCGTAGAGGATGTTGAAGACACCATAGCTGTGAAGACTATGTCCGAACTGCCATCCCACCCACAGCTCCACTGCTGCACGATCCAGGTACACCCAGAAAAGGACGGGTGAGGCTTCAACCAACCGACCGTATGAGAAAACATGATGGGAGAGCTGGTCAAATAGCAGGTCTCGCACTTCACCATGGACTCGCTGTTCAAAGGCGCCAATGCTGCCGAACCACTTTCCAATGCAGCGCTGCATAACAGCTCGGTCACAGATCATGGGCTTGCCGCTGCCAGGCTCCTTATGGTCCCGGGAGCAGCAATCGCTGTTAGCTTCCGCAAAGCGGAAGTTTGCGAGTTGGCCACTCATGACATTCACGTCGCGGCAGAACTCACGGACAAGATGGACGATGTAGAAGAAAATCGCGCCACAAGCCCCAGTCGCTATCAGAAGTGCGAAGGGCACGAACGAAACTTCCATCAGCAATCCGAGTGTGAAGCACAAACCTCCGAGTGCAATTGCAAGCCAGAGCGCACACATTATGAATCCCAGTGAGGTAGGGCGAATCGTAACGTGTGGCTTCTCACCCTCTGCACGGCTGTGTAGAAAGGCAGCCAACTCGAATACACACCTTTCTGCTCCAACTCAAAAAATGAAACAAACGTTATAGTAAGCTTTTCTGGTGTCGCAAAGACGAGCACCGGCAAAGTAATCAAATTTTAGCATGACAAAGGAAGGCTAAAGAAAAACTCTACTTTTCACGGCTGGATGCCACAGGCGCTGTGTCCAGGATCGGTCCCAAAGCACTAACATTCGGTCGGAATTCTTGAGGATTGCCCCCAAACTGAAGAGCCCCTCCGCTTTCAGCACGGGGTCTGATTGCGAGATGCAGAGTCGGTCAACAAACACCAGCCGAGGCGGATGCCAAAACAACATTGTCAGTACATACGTCAGGACACCGCTGCTGATGCACCAAGCGCAATGCTGTGTGGAAGGCTGCGGTAAAACCCCGAGGCCGACGAGGAAGAAGGCAGAAAATGCTGATGCTGTGCTGACCACAGCAGCGGCGGTAGCATTGTTGAGCAGGAACACAGTGGCGATCTTCATGCAGGTAGAACCATGCCAGCTATGAGACCAGAAAGCCTGCACACGGGTCGTAACTCGGCTCAGCTCGAAAAAATCACCCTCTTGTTGCCTTAGTGGCCGAGCAAAGCCTCGCAGTACTGCCCAAACGGGTGCAGCTCTGATGATCTCAGGGCGGGTGGGCAGCATCGTAGCGATGTGGTCGCTAAGCCAAAGAACATCTGGCAGCATTGCAACGATAATGGCCTCTTCAGAATTAGATGCAGAGGTGTCTCTTTCGAACTCTTCATCCTCCAACTTCGGCAGTTCGTCAACATCAAAGCACACCGGCTTTCCCACGGGCTGAGGTGCTGGTCCATCCATGCGCAAGGCTCAACTTAGGCCTGTATTGAAACAAACTACAGCCTAAGGCTTCTGATCAGGAGCCTGTCACGCAAGTGCCGGATAAGATCTAGCTGAAGAAGCGACCGCTGGATGTTCCCTTCCCTAGGGTTCTACAATATTCTGCAATCACTGGTTAGAAAAAGACTGCACCTCGCCCGTCAAATTTCCGAGATGGCACTGCTGGCCTTCCCAAACCGTCCAAACAAATACACAGCAGGCGAAAGCTTTTTTCAAAACCGTCCTGACGCAAATCTGGCACGGAAGAGGCGGAGCTGCCAGGTTTCCATGGTCTGCAGAATCTGTGGCATCGCCTGCAGCTGTGGAACCCTGTGTTTGTGAAGCTAATTACTACTAAACCTCGCTCAAAAGTCGGGTCCAAGACTTTTTAGCCTCTCTGAATTGAGTGCAGCCTGGAAACCAACACCATTGATCCGTGGACTCTTCGGCCCCTGCTTCGCTGCCTACCGGATCCGATGCCTGCTCGCAGGCTCCACAGGCACGCCCCGCGGCAGCGAAGGTGATTGCGTCGGGCCTAGGACTCCTACTGGCGAACCAGACAGAAACTCCATCCCCACACACACACACACACACACACACACACACACACACACTTGTCACACGTCGAACACCGGTAACCGAGACAAGGCTATTTCGCTTTGGATGCGGAAGGCCGACTACCACTTCAGACAGTGTGGCCAGGTTTCTATGTCTGGGCTTCTCGGTGCTCTCTACTTCCCTCCCTATTTACCTTTCTGCTGAATGGCGAATATTGCAAAGATGGAATCGATACGTGCTACCTAGCTCGAGAAAACTTCTATTCTTCTGAATGATGATGATCCATCGCTATCATATATATTCGGGAGTATATATCTCTCGCATATGAGGTCTGTATATATATATATATGCCCAGCCAAGTCCCCAATATAAATACCCGAACAGAAGTCTCGATTTATACCTTATCTCACATTACATATGGTATCCCAGAAAATATCACTGAGATATTTCGGGGCCACCGTGATTCCATATCCGTACGAGAATCCTTTACTCCCAGATATGCGAATTAAAAATATGCAGATTTATGCTTCCCAAAGCGCAATGAAATGCCTCATCCTTAACATCAAGTCGTCACGCGAATGCGTGATTCTAAATGGGTCGGCGGAATCTACGTGGGGGTTCAATCTAATAAAACAATCTCGCGGCATGCTCCAACGTGATTCAAAGCTTCAAATGTTCCAACATATTTCAAAGTGTTCCATACCCCACAGCCTGGCCTGGCTGATCCTCACTCGATTTCCTGCAGGACCCCCTGCTTGACCTATGCCGTGCGACCCTCCAAGACTCAACTCCTGGTGTTCAGGAGAGAGGAACATGTCTGAAACGTCTAAAGTGAGGTCGTGTGAGCCCTGGTGACCTCAGAGCCTTGTGGTGGGCCTTGTGTTGGGCCTTGGGCCGTGCTCTCCAGATTTGCAGGACCCTCCCGCCGTGGCACTGTTGGCAGGCAGTGCCAAGTGAGCGCTGCCACAATGAAGGAGATCAAGCTGTATAGTATCGGCCCGAAGGGACGGAAGATGAAGAATTGAGAGAAGATCAAGACGCTGAAGGGGAGGATGCCAGCAAGCAGGAGTACCAGGTTTATGAACAGATCTGCAAGTCGGCATGAGCGTTCGGCCTGCAGCATCCACGCCAGGTGAAACAAGATCCGGAAGAAGATCGGACACAAGGCCAGCCAGTAAGTTAGGCCGTAGAGGATGTTGAAGACACCATAGCTGTGAAGACTATGTCCGAACTGCCATCCCACCCACAGCTCCACTGCTGCACGATCCAGGTACACCCAGAAAAGGACGGGTGAGGCTTCAACCAACCGACCGTATGAGAAAACATGATGGGAGAGCTGGTCAAATAGCAGGTCTCGCACTTCACCATGGACTCGCTGTTCAAAGGCGCCAATGCTGCCGAACCACTTTCCAATGCAGCGCTGCATAACAGCTCGGTCACAGATCATGGGCTTGCCGCTGCCAGGCTCCTTATGGTCCCGGGAGCAGCAATCGCTGTTAGCTTCCGCAAAGCGGAAGTTTGCGAGTTGGCCACTCATGACATTCACGTCGCGGCAGAACTCACGGACAAGATGGACGATGTAGAAGAAAATCGCGCCACAAGCCCCAGTCGCTATCAGAAGTGCGAAGGGCACGAACGAAACTTCCATCAGCAATCCGAGTGTGAAGCACAAACCTCCGAGTGCAATTGCAAGCCAGAGCGCACACATTATGAATCCCAGTGAGGTAGGGCGAATCGTAACGTGTGGCTTCTCACCCTCTGCACGGCTGTGTAGAAAGGCAGCCAACTCGAATACACACCTTTCTGCTCCAACTCAAAACATGAAACACACGTTATAGTAAGCTTTTCTGGTTCGCATGACAAAGGAAGGCTAAAGAAAAAACTCTACTTTTCACGGCTGGATGCCACAGGCGCTGTGTCCAGGATCGGTCCCAAAGCACCAACATTCGGTCGGAATTCTTGAGGATTGCCCCCAAACTGAAGAGCCCCTCCGCTTTCAGCACGGGGTCTGATTGCGAGATGCAGAGTCGGTCAACAAACACCAGCCGCCGCGAATGCCAAAACAACATTGTCAGTACATACGTCAGGACACCGCTGCTGATGCACCACGCGCAATGCTCTGTGGAAGACTGCGGTAAAACCCCGAGGCCGACGAGGAAGAAGGCAGAAACTGCTGATGCTGTGCTGACCACAGCAGCGGCGGTGGCATTGTTGAGAAGGAACGCAGTGGCGATCTTCATGCAGGTAGAACCATGCCAGCTATGAGACCAGAAAGCCTGCACACGGGTCGTAACTCGGCTCAGCTCGAAAAAATCACCCGTTTGTTGCCTTAGTGGCCGAGCAAAGCCTCGCAGTACTGCCCAAACGGGTGCAGCTCTGATGATCTCAGGGCGGGTGGGCAGCATCGTAGCGATGTGGTCGCTAAGCCAAAGAACATCTGGCAGCATGGCAACGATAATGGCCTCTTCAGAATTAGATTCAGAGGTGTCTCTTTCGAACTCTTCATCCTCCCGCTTCGGCACATCGTCAACATCAAAGCACACAGGCTTTCCCACGGGCTGAGGTGCTGGTCCATCCATGCGCAAGGCTCAACTTAGGCCTGTCTTGAAACAAACTACAGCCTAAGGCTTCTGATCAGGAGCCTGTCACGCAAGTGCCGGATAAGATCTAGCTGAACAGCGAGCGTTGGATGTTCCCTTCCCTAGGGTTCTACAAGATTCTGCAATCACTGGTTAGAAAAAGAATGCACCTCGCCCGTCAACCATAGCGCTTTTCACTTGCCTGTGTTGCTAGGGTTTGATTTGGGTTGTGTTGTTGCTTGGTGTTCGTTGGTAGCTGTGCTTGCAGCTGCGCTATAGTTGGCTCAGCATGAAACCCTCCACTGCCTCCAAGGCAGGACCTCCCTCAATGCCCGCTAAAGCGCGGCTTCCATCCGGATGCCCCGAACCCTTCCATTGCATCTGATCAGTCTTGGTCGAGGGCTTCCCCGAGCATGTGTGATCTCAAACCTGTGCGTGCTGTGTCCAACTGTTGCTGATGGAAATCCTGCATCAGTTTCACATGCAGCCCAATCCCCTCACCGCCCCGAATTTTAATATTGACACAGAATCCAACCCGGCAGCGCGAATCATTGAAATCCTGCATGACCCCAGGCACCCAGTCAACATTGAAATTAAGGGGTGCGCAGGGATGTGTGTAGGCAGGCTGTTGCGTGGGTGGCTGGGGTCATGCAGGATTTCTATCATCCACCGTAGTGCCAAATTTGTGCCGATACCCTCACCAGAGACTCCTTCGTGTGCCGGCAGAGAGAGTTTTCGGTGATTCTAACTCGACAAGTACAGAAAACATAAGTAAAACATAGCTGCCACACTGAGCTCCCCACTGCAGCTTGCGACCTAGCAGGCACATGGCCACGCCAAGTCACCGGCACATGTATGGAGTTGTATCTGACAGGGCATGCGGACATCCTAGACCCATTAAGCTTTAATTTCTATTGGCTTTCGTGCCTTTGCGACCTGCCGGCGGGGCTGTGCTAGCAAAACTGATGCAAGTCCATCCATGACTAACGTTTGGGCAAATTCATCCAACAGTTCGGCTAGATGTTGCATTGGTAAGGCTGTTTGTCCGACAAGCTCGCAACCGAACTCCAAGTGAGCTGCCTGCGTTTGTAAGCATGGCTCCACAGACATTTTAGGGTTATACGTTGTTTCCGCGACCTTCCGAAGAGACGATGTCCGCAGCAAACTAACTGTAAAGGAGCGCCTAAACGAACACAGCTCAAGTGATAAGTGACCCCTTCTTTGAACATCCAAGAACAACCTAGAGCAGCTCTTTCGTCTGAGGACAGCGCTGCCCATCGCAAGAAAAAGCCGGAGCGCATCCCTGGCAGGCTTCGGCAGACCAAAACACAACAAGTCGGCGGTCTGAACGACAAAAGTCTAAATTTTCGGAACCGAGTACTTGCCATCCGTGTAAGCAAATAACCTGGGGTCTGTTTGCGGAATCTGAAGCCCGTAGTCCCATTTAGAGCTACCTGCAACGGCGAGCTTGAAGAGGGTGGGCAATACTGGAGAAGGCCAAGAATGGTTGCTTCAAAATCTGACAGCCCCGTTGAGGGCTTCGATAGCCTTCTTAGCTTCTTAGAGGAAGCCTGTGGTCAGAAACCTCCGGCGGAACATTTTTTTCGCACTGGTCTTGTAAAGGCCATGTTGCTCATGCCTGGAAGCCCGACCCCCCCAACCCGCCAAAGATAACTTTGCGAGTTGTCGGAGCTGGCGTCAGAAGGATGTCCCGGCGAACCGTTTGGGCTGACGTGCAGTGTCAGCTACGAACGTAAAAAGTTAAAAGGGATCTGGCATGGGCTGTAGAGATGTTGCGCTGGCACCTCGGTCGACCAATGCTGCCGGCGCTGATGGCCGCATTGTAGCCTCATGATTCTAGAGATTCGGGAGAGGAAAGCTGCGCAATCAAAAGCATGACTGCAGACGACAGGCACTCGACTTTTCAACGCATGCTCCACGCGCAGGCGAATACCCCAAGGACTGAACCCAACCCGGAAGCATACAACGTAGAACCCTGAAACTCAGCCTTACTCAGCTCAGGCTTCAACGATCTCCAACATGCTGTCAAGCAACTGACAAGGTCCGCTTTGAGGGTCTTAGAGGCAATCGAGTTGAACCTGCAGCTGAGCAGTATCAAAGTAGGCCGGCTGGGGCTCTGCAGTGCAGGGGAGCCAGGTGTACACATCCCGGAAAATCTGAGACCATGTCATACAATGCCCACATCAAGACACCAAAACACCATCAAATGCCATCAAGCACACGAACTGCGCACATCCACGAAAGACTTAGATTGAGTTCTTGCCATGTCACATGGAGAAGGCCGCTTGCCAACAACACCGTCTGTCGCAAGCGCTTAGCGCAGCATTGAAAGAAACCTGGGTGGTTCGTGCCAGGAGACGGTCTCGGGGTCCGTGTGGAGCTGCTTGGAGTGCTCATGGCATTCAACAGATTCCAGCGCTTTTGCAACGAACACGCCCAAGAAGACACTTATCATGCACTTTGCGCACTCAGAATCATGGGTCGCCGGCCTCTTTAGCAAGGGGCGAGCAAGCTGGACAAGACTCGGCCCCATGCATCCTAGCGCCCTGGCCGTGCCAGCGAGTTCCAGCTAGGTGGCCAGGTTCGCAACCACAGCGGTCAGCGACATCTCCTCAAGGTGGTCTGACTGTGTCAGGGTCATAGCTTCGGAAGCAAAAGCCTGAGACAGGAACAGATGCCAGTTCTCGCATCATGGGATACAGACCTTCTTAATTGGGCGCATGACCTTGGCACGCCTATTGCTTAGTTTTGCTGAGTTGGGGAAACCCGTACGGTCCCGCGTGGGCCCTGTCCTGGTTTAAGACCGATCCCGAGTTGGGCCTTAAGTACATGAGCGCTCAGGAATTGCATTCCAAAACAGGTAAGTGTGCATTCTCTTCATCTCTGAAGATCTAAAACTCCACACCCCAGACCTGAACGATGCAACACCTCAACCAGGGATGCACGCCCCCCAAAAGGCAAGACCGCAACCTTGCGCAAGCATGGCTCCTCCAGTAATGACACAGCAAGGTCCCACTTGGCAGCCTTGTCCGCGGCGCTGATGACAGCCTTGGGCTGAAAATCGTCTGCATGAGGAGGAAGTTCTACAGGATCAACGTGAACTGGAGGCAAAAACTGATCAACGTCGTGCAGAACTTGCGAGTGCTCGTGGCTTGGACCCACATTCCCAAAACCCGAAACATCGTCCCTTGACAAAAAAAGCAAGCAAAGATCAAAACAAAACAGTGCTCATGCTTCACTGTCCCAAAGGCGCTCTGACTGACAACGTCGCGCTGAAGAAGCACCGACAGTGCCAATGCCTAAACTATTTTAGGCGGTGGTGGGTTGGACTTCGAGTGCGATGGCGGCATCGCACCCAGGAACCCAGTGCTCAAGACGGTGAGCTTTCCAGGTCATCCTACTTGGCTTTCGAGGCTAGAAGTACGAACACAAAACTCATGAGATGTGCCCCCAAAAAGTGCTATCTTTGCTGGCGACAGCTGGGGCGGCCGTGAGAACACTGGGAACAAGCTGGGAACCGTCATTGAACCGTCCGTGTGTTGTTTGCTCAGCGCCTCAGGGTGCAGCCGGCTCAAGCTCAGAACAGGAGCCCGAAACGAAATAAGACTCACAAAGACTCAGAGTCCCAGAGCCTCCAGATTCTACGATTCTACCCTACACAACAAAAGTTGGCGGCCGGATGCCGTGGCCCAAAGGCTGCCACTGGCTTTCTCACAAGCACTGACAGCACCACCTCCGCGCAAGTTCATGAGAGTCTAATGGGTTTCGAACCAAGGCTTCCTGGGGCGGCTTCTAAGTGTACCGTGGCACAGTCGCGAAGCATTTTCCTGCCACGGCTGTATGCATGTTTGGGGTTGGATGCGCTCGGTTCTGAGTGATGGCGATGGACATGGAATGAGTTCAGCTCCGCCAGCATGGATCCCCAAAATCACAATTCTTCAAGAGACATCGCTTGTGCCAGGACACTGTAGCTGAGTGTGTTGGGCTTCTGGCCAGCGATGGGCATTAACTCGAGATTGCCCAGTGCATCTTGCCATTGGCACCTCGGAAACTTCTCCACTCAGGTGAGGTTCTGGTCTAGTCAACTTTGGTGTCCCGGCGGTCTGCATAGCGGCAGGCCCAAGGGAACGTCTGATAAAAGTCAGAAGCAGCTTTCTCGGTACTGGCAACTGTGACAACCTACCTACAACTAGGCAAATCATGACAGAAGCATCATGCCTTCCTGAAAGAATTCAGTATCCTCAATCTGCAGTGCGCGGGGCAGGTGAAGGATCGGAAAGCATTTCAAACACACAAAGCAAAGACTAAAGGTTAGCATTGGCGCATAAAGCCTGGAACGAAGCTCTTGCAAAGACAGGTTCCCCAAACTGCATGAACACGAACTGGCAAAGCCACGGGATTGAACACTGCGGGCGGAAAGCCTTACACAAGATCTGCGCTACCCAGAGGGTGGAGCTATGACCGTCTGCCACTTTCTGACACTCTCACCGACCTCCATCCAACCGCCAGGCCACCCCTTTTCGCAGGCACTGATGCCAGCAGAGTAGCCTCGGCTTCGTTAACTACTGAAAACATCCGAAGAATCCTGTTATACTACTGGACTTCACTCGCTAGTTCGCTTAACCTTCCCGAAGGAGGGCTGCCCCGAAAGCAGCGCGAAGTGCGCTTGTTGTGCCGACCCCACGGTTTTCATGGGTGGCCTTCTCGTATGATGAGCCTGTCTGTGCCTCTCTCTCTCTCTCTGTCGAGCGCGTCGTTGCCACAGCGCCGTTCGGCTTCGACTAAGAAAAGCAGGGTAGTCAAGAACGGCCCCAAAGGTGGGGTCTCTTAGTCGCAGGCACACTGCCAGCTGCACCGGGCGTGGTGAGTGATTATGGCCAACACAACGTCTCAGTTCTCAGTCGCCGACTTCTGGCAGAGCTCTTTCAGTCGCCGAAGACGTCTGAGAGCTGCGAGTCCGCCCCGCTCACGGTGACGAAACTTTCGACGAGACTGTCGGATGCAGAAGAACTACGGCCAGCAAGCCCAACAAGGGCCTCGATCCCGGCGCGGAGCTGGTCGGCCGTGGCGCGTGAGCAGACTGTGCAGCGAGGACAGCCTGTGCCGCCAAAGCATATTGTTCCATTCCCACGCCTCCTTCTTCGGTCTCGACAGCTCTTTTTCCCGCGCTCTGAGCGACGTTCGGCTTAGCCGTCACAAGATCGGAAGTCACGGCCCCGGCGGGTAAAGTGGCGGTGCTCGGGGCTTGCTCTAAAACACTAACACAAACTCAGCGAAGAGAGCTGGGACTTGCTTCTCTGCAGGCTGCTGCTGTTTGCTCTGGGGCTTGCTCTTCTCGCCCTCTTCCGCCTCCTTGCAGAAGGCGATCTTCTTTGCTTGTGTGGCCTTACCGGGCGTCGGCAGGAGAAGCTGGACGGCAGTGTTCTCGCCATTCTCCCTCTCCTGCCAGAACTGGTCAGAACTGGAGACAGCTTTTCCGATAGCTCCATTTCAATCTCTGGTTTTGCCTCACTTTCTGCAGCTGTGCTGGCCTGAAGCTTTTTGTCTCCGTCATGGAGAACTCTCTCCAGCTGTGTCGCAGCCACCTCTTTAGCATGGCGTCATGGGAGGCCGCAAAAGTCTCTGATACTAAGGAGGGCCTTATAATGGCAAAATGCCAGACTCAAAAACTCAGGGGCTCAGGGCCCGGGGTCTAGGTGGAGAAGTAGGAGAGAACGCAGGAGTAGCCTCGGCGCTTGGTTGACCGTGTGCCTTCCAGGCATCGCAAGGCATTGCAGCTTGGAGGACGTTGCCCCCCTGCACTATGTGAACATGTCCCTCTTGCCCGTCCTCGACGTACTACGTGCTTCAGCTCTCACGACCGCACAACCATCCAGAGTCCAACGGCTCCCAGGGTGCATGAGCTTACAATCACGCAGGGAAAAGCGCCCTCCCACAAGAGTCCTGTAGTCGAGGAGCTGATGGCATCCGGCACGATCGATCTTGACCACATCTGTCCTAAGAGGTGCAAAGACAAGGCATTTCCCGAGCGTTTAGCAGCAGTCAGTCATGTTTGTCGGTTGAACTAGGTCCAACTCACCTGGGTCTTGTGAATAAGAGAGTAAAGCAAAAAGAGCCATGCTGATGTCTGCAATGCGTCAGACGTTCTGCCAAACTGTTGGCACACCGCGAGGGCCGCAGGTGTGGATAATACCAACCAGCCCAAGAGGCGCTGCATACTGCATGACGTCATGCTTTCGACCCAGGAGCTTCGCAAGGTAAGGTTTATTGCAACAGACCAGAACACTTTCTTCCACCATCTCTGCTTTTCCCATCTACCAAAATCTATAAGATTGACACATGTTACTTGCTACATACACTGTTACCAGCAACAGCCTAATTTCATCAGAAACTCAGGTTTTGTACTTTCTTGAGAATGTTCCCCCTACCTTGCGCCTTCCGCTTACTTGGAGACTTCTTAGACAAATCATTCCTTGCAGGCAGGCTGCGCAAGAAGTGCATGCCCCAGGACCAGAGACCAGACTTCTCTGCTGTGCTGATGAGAGCTCCGAAGCCTCTGCAGGTTGACATGCTGGGTACGATCAATGGATCCTTCCGGGGCACGAAAACGGTTGACGCACTGTAACCGACGGGTTGCAGAAGGGGCATCTTAAGCTGGCTTCTGGAAAGCTTGCAGTACCAGCCCCAAGGGAGTGTTAAGTGTTCCATATGCTGCAGCGGGAACTCAGCTGGTTTGGTCTCACACCACACGATGCCATGTCGCTCGCGAGGCTGAGGGCAGTCAGCCAGGCACTGCCCTTTTCCTTACAGGGCAGCAGGGGTGTGAACATGTCCGGACTTTGCTGCTTGCGGCTGTTCTTATGCGGGTTTAGTCTTCCGTGTACGGGATTAGAGTTGGGGAGTTGGAAATCCGAGGGCATGGAACATCAAATGATGGCCTATGTTTGCACGTTGCAATGTAATGCATGTAATTAGGTTTGGCATAGGGTGGCTCCAGAAAGCAAAGCCTTTGAACAAAACACAACAAATCCCGACATTCCACGATTTGCCCAGGCGCACACTGGAGTTTGTAGAAACTAGGGGTCGCTGTACCTCCAAATTTCGTAGAGCACCCCTGGCACCCCCAAAGAAGGCGGCCGAGTCTCACAGGCAGTTAGCACCTGAGAGCGGGGAAGGCTGAGGCACGGTTCGTTCTTCCGTTATCGAAACTCACAGGCAGCACTTGACACACTGCAAAGAAAACAACCCCATGCCCTTCAGGTTTCGGGCTCGCTGTGCAAACCTCTTGCACTCCCATCAAGCGCTCCCTTCCTAATGGATAGAGGATAGCAGCCAGGCGGCAGTGCTGTAGTGATAGACGTTTCCTTGCAGGTGGAAGTCCTGCAGCCTGGGCCCGCAGGGGGCTGTTCGGGACCCTAAGGCTCTAAGGACTCCGGTTCAACGCTTGAGCGCTCCGGAGCTGATGCTAGACTTTTGGTTCAGTGCAGGGAAATAGCAGGCAATGCAACTAGGCCGGCATCTTCAGGCGCAAATCTGTTGCTGGCAGCGGCCCCTGAACGTCTCTTTGAGATAAGCAAATTCTGGGGCATCTGCCGTAGAGCGATGTACCAATGGCAAGCCTGGAATCCCTGAAGGAGGAGGACCACTCTAGTGAGTCTAGTGAGCCTAGCAGCACGCGCAGCAGCTCGACAGCAGCTTTGGTCGAGCCCGTGCCTCCATGCGTGGGGCAGCGTAGTGAGATGGGAACAGGCACAAAAGAATGGACAAGAATCAAAACAAACACGACCGTGCATTGCGTGTAGATCGGCCGACTTCGACTTCGACACTGCCACCTTCTGATGCGAACACCGCAGCTGTGAAGATGTCCAACGTGAAGTGGACATAGTTCTTAGCGATGTACATCGATGATCATCGATGTACATGTCGGTTGATTCAGGCAGTGGCCTTGTCGAGACGCCGCTGTCCTGTCCTGTCTTGCTGATATGTCTGCCATGCCATTGCTCGCGTGCGCTCGCGCCAGCAGTACGCACTCACGCCGGTCAAAGTTCGGCTTGAGGGATACAGCGTATTGCAAAACGAGCCAGGCCGGCATTGAATCGCTGCTTCATTGCCCGTACATCGCTGCCAATCAGATCATGAACGGCTTTTCCAACAAGTGTCAGCACAAAAGCCGGTGAACCCAAGGCTATGACGACAACTGCTGGATGGGTGAGTCTTATGGAAAGCGGCTAACGTCAGCATACCTGACGATCAAGACTTAACGCAGAAAGAGTAGCTTTCGTCGTCCGGTCCATTCCTAACCCAATCCAGAGAGAAGGGACATCCTACCATGCATGCGCCTCCGATGCGGGACAGGAGCCAAGTGCCCAGTTTTGGGTCGCCAGCTCTTTCCCTCAATGCCGCCGGCACCGCCTGAGTGACCTGCCCAAGGCATTTGGCAGGTAGCACATTCAACTTTGTGGCATCGCGTGTTTCTTTTGGTGCTTTTCCTGTCTTGGCAATGGGCGCCTCAAAACATAGCGTTCCTGGCCTTGGGCCATTCAGACCTGATCCAAAGGTCCGAGTATATCGTCCCTGCGTTCAACTTTGTCGCAGTAGAAACTTAGTCTCAAGGCTTATAAGGTTCAAGGTCGCTTTCTTACATGGGCAGTTTGTCTTGAAGGTTCTGATTAAACATGTCGATTAGCGGATGATTAGCACGCGCCTGTCTTTGGGTAGCCTTGACTGTGTTTGGTGTTCTTTGGCTGTTTTGTTCGCTTGATGAAATGAGGCAAACAGTCCGGACAAGCATGCCTACTTCCCAGCATTTCAGAACATCCACGCAGAGGTCCGATACCACAAGCTCAAGCATGGCCCTGACATCTGGACAAAATCCGACGACCTCCTCGCGCTGCGGCTCTGCGCCGAGCTTTTTCAGCAGGCGCAGCGCGCGATGCGCAGCGGAGATCGCCTCTCTGCTGGTGAGGTGCACTCGGCTTTGGGGGATGTGCTAAAGCGGTTTGCGTCCCACCTGTCTATGCCAAGATTCTGCTCCCTTGTAAGCACACCTCTTTTGTCGTCTTTGGTCAGCGTGACTGTCCTACTACATCAGGAGTGCCCTCTACGCAAAAACTCTATACTGGCGGCTGAGGGTTGTCTTTGCATGCTTGTAAACCAATATATTCTTGCCCTGCAAAGAAGACTAACCCTTCTAACCCCAAAATCCTAAATTTCTTTACTCGTGGCCAGGCCTCGGATTGCTCGCGCATGGCACGCCATGGGTGCCGTCATCGCTTGTGCACGCGCAAACACCACGCCGCTGCAAGCGGTCTCTTCTGGTGACCCCTTTCTGCAGCCCAAGAACTTCCAGGTATGGGGCGGCGACTTTTTTGGGCATAACCCGTTTTTTCCCCCAAGGTCTAAGTTCAACCCGTCTTTCATCACCAAAGTCTAAGTCATGCTCAATCAGGATCAGGACGTGCGCATGCTGCCTGACAGCGTTCCTTGATTGGTGCAGAGGCTCCGTTTTAGGCCCAAAGCTTGGGATGTGTACACTAATTAGCTTGTGCTCCAGTGTACCTCGGCCACACGCAGACAGGCATCTGGCCCGGATGGATGGATCGTGGAGGATAGACTGATAGACTTGCGCAATGTTCGGTTATTGGGCTGCTCACTTCCCTGTCGAACGCACGTAGGCCTGCAAGAGCTTACCCATCCTCTTGAAAGACCACGCTCATGTGGAACAGGAACTTGCGTGAACGAGACAGGCTCTCAGCACTCTGCAAGTAGACTTGTCCACCCAGAACCTGCATGGCCCCTAAATCCTGAAGAAACATTTTCCAAGAACTGGTGCCCCAACCACACTTTTGGCACCACGGCTGTCTGACCCTCACCGCGGCCGGGTTCACGGAGCTGCTCGAAGACTGTGCCCCGTGGTGACCTGCGTTAAACATACAAGGCTAGTCTTTCAAAGCGTTGACACTTTGTCAAGTCTATCACCTTATCACCTTTGAGGCGTCCGAGTGCCCCAGCCCTGGATTCACCCTGGTCACTATTGAAGACCATCTTGAACAGCTTGGAAAGAGCTTGAAGTGAAAACATCTCAGTCTCCGTGTGCCGAAACCACATCGAGAGGAGATGCAACGTAAAGGTGCCAAGCAGTTGCAAATCTCGGAAGGTCTGTGCGCAGGTTTCTGGGGGGGGGGGGGTGACTTCTCTCTTGCTTTTGGAGGAAGCCCTTGTCTCTGTAGATTACTTGCGCCTGGCGGCTCACGGCTCCACACCTTCTCCGGAGCCTTTTTCTTTTGAAGGGGGTTTGGGTGCGTTTTTAGTCGGTTCGGGCGACCTCGGGCACGTATCCTGGATGCAGCTGCTTTTTGGGGCTCGTTCATTCATTGTAAGTTCCTTTTTGGATAAAACTCGGTTCGAGTTAAACAAGAACTCGAATACGGAACGGCAGGTTGCCACAAGCATGCAAAAATCCCAAGCCCCAAAGCCATTCCCATCCGCACTTCGCAGCCAGTTGGTTTCGACCCCACAACCCTAACCCCCCCCCCCCCAAAAAAAAAAAAAAAAATAAAATAAAACCCAAACCCCAAACCTAAAATGTGTTGCAGTGACTCGACGCGCCTGAAGGTGAGCAACTTGGCGCAATCCAGCAAATCGGCTGGCAGCGGAGCATGGACTGTCTGCTGCCTGCCCCGATGATCCCGGAAGGCCACGGAATACCTGGGTCAGATTCCGTGACTGCATACAAGCAATTCTGAACAACACGTTGACATGCCGCAGCCCTGGCACATGGATTCTATTGGAATCTGGACCCATGCCACAACAAGAGGGCGCTCAAAATCTGGAGCCTAGGGTTCCAAACGTGAAAGTTGATAATTGCTGAACCAATAGACCAACACCAGAATCAAGATTGAGACCGAAGCAGACCGGCTGCCGATGCAGGAAATTCCGAGGGCAAAGGCCCCAGTCTTCGTAGAAAGTCTGGCGTGAGGTGTAGCGGCCGTCACCTTGTGAGCAGCAGGAACAGACATTGTAGCAATCATGTGTGGGGAGGGGGGGGGGGTGGGCTGAAATGCGAGGTATTCGCGACACTTCAGATCACGACATCTACACGTACGCACGCGACCCGTAGACAGCCTCTTGTTCAAGAAAGAACCGGCACTGTTGGCAGCCATGTACGTCAGATGTGGAGTTGATTATGTCACATTATGTTGAACCTGGGGGCTGACCTGCAGCAACACAAGCGCAGTATGCCCGTATGTCTGGCATCCGACAAGGGCATTGGTTCTGGCTGAAAGGGCGTGTGCCAACAAGCACGCAACCAGCGTGCGCGATTCAACGTAGCTGAAGTATTCAACTTCGACCAACAGCAATGCAAACATCGGCTTTCTTTTAAAGCAGCCACTTAACAAAAGGCAGATAATCTGCTGTTGCTTGAGATTACAATACAAAGCAGTGGGTACTTGCTGCTTTCGTCGGCTAAACACAGCTGAACTCCAGCTTAACAACGACAACAATGGTCAAAAGTGAGTACTCAGCAACCTGACTGTGATAGGTTTGGCAGAACGAAACGGTGAAAACATAATTTAGGACATGTCATGTTTAGACATGTGTGTAGATTCAGTATGGCAATGATAATGGTATGTGCTTTTACTGAATGCCCCACATCTTGAAACTGTTTTGCAGTTATATACAGTTGTGAATGCACCCGACACGGATGCTGTATCGTGCAGTGTCAAGCACGGAGAAAGCAGCTGCTAGGTAGGACACGTGTTGCGTGCGCGTGTGTCACAGTAGCTGTCGTTCTCTGCCTGACCGGGGATGTCGGCTCAATTCTCATTGCCTGGTTTCCAGATCAACTGGAAGTGATGGGTTTAGCGAAGGATTTCCTGGGGCCTGAACTAGAAAGAAAAGATACCAACAACAAAACATACGACTGCACCGAACAGCAACGGACACTGCCAAACACAAAGTAACCCCAACAGCTAAGGCGACCGGTAATAAAGACCAACTGTTACACCCTAAACCTAAGGAATTCCGGGAATTCTCTGTGGGATCCTCCCGCTCTGAAACTGTGCCATTTGACGGGTACTGTGCTACTTGCTGAGTTCCTTGTGTTTTTTTGCTTGGTTGTTGCTGATATTCCTATATTATGACACCCAAGAAAGCTCTGTAGACAGTACGCCGCTGTTTTAGTGTTGGCACTTTGCACTCGATTGTTGGGTTCGTGCCGCTAGTTCTACCTGTTGCTGTGTTCTGTAACTTTCTTTGTTGGGGATTCTCTCGCATTTGGCTTTAGTTGCTATGTGTCTCGTCATCGTCGTCGGTTGAAGTGGTTGTTGTTTTCTCGTTGGCCGTTGGCCGTTCTGTATGTTCCTTGCCGTTGGTTGTGACCGTTCCTGCTGGCGTGTGGCGTGGTTGTGCTGGTGGTGGTTTCTTCGGTTTGGTCATTTTTGGACACTAGTCCGCTTTACTTTTGTTGAAGGAGTCGCTTCCCAAGTCCAGCGCTCCGGCATCTGGGGCACTGCAAAACGCTAGAGATGGCCACCCGAAGTTGCATCGTGCGTATGGAGATGCATGTCCGTATAGTACATCTGTGCGTAGGTGTGCGCGCGCGCGTGGGTGTGTGTGTGTGTGTGCGCTGTTGAAGTCAAAATAAGTTAAAGCCGCCTTCCTGGTTTCGCTACAAATTTTAAATATGATGGCCGGGCGGCAAACAGTGGCGTGGCCGATGTGCGCACAATGACTTCGGATCTGATGCCGCCGGCCCGTGCCAATGGAAACACGTACCAGGGCATACGCACCTGAAGCAGGGCGGATTGCTCTAAAGCTGCCAAGACCGTGGTCCCAGCCAAGCATGTCCTCACTCGTAGAAACGCCTTTTTTTCGGAATTCCCTTACATTACGGGGATAAGCCAACCAAACCAACCCAGCCACTGGCCACATTCGACCCTGAGATAGCTGTCGCAACATCGGCTCTGTACCTCGTGCTCCGAATCGCTCCCTCTCTGCTTCTTCGTCTTGTTCTTCTTCTTCTTCTGCTTCCCCACTGAGGGCTACGTGGGGTGTGACCCTTCTCCGCCCCTACAGTAGGACGCTGCCTCAGTGGTGGCGTTGATGGTGTTGGGTTTGCTTTGACCCCCATTCTTGTGGAGCTTCGAAAGCAATCTTGCGAGGAGGCAGCCCCTTTACTGGGGTGTCGCACCCGGGTTCCTGTGGGAGTTGGAGCTTGGCTTGGCTCCGCCCACGAATTGCCCCCAAACTCCTGAAAGATCTCTGCGCTTATTAGAGTCCAAAGCTCCTAGATTATTGCAGAAACCGAAAGGAGCTTGTGAATGTCAATCTCTCCCCCTCCCTCCAACAACTGCATGGGCACGATCTCCTTGCCTAATTCAGGCTTTACTCCATGCAATGTCAACATTGTTTGCCTACTTGAAAGCCCCCGGGTGTGAGGGGTCGAATCCAACCTCTGTCTCTTCATCTTCTCAAGGGGCTTAGGGGAGTGGCTCCCCCCGCACACAGCCGCGCACCCGATGTCCGGGGTCCGGCATTGAAACCCGCGCTGCAAGCAAACCTCGCCTACCTTCCCGAAGGCCTCACGTCCCCCAAGTCTCCAACCCAATTGCCAATTCCTGCTTCGACCTGGTGTTCCGCCTGAGGGCAGCTCCAGGCATGTAGAAGGCACCGCGTCAGTCCCTACCAACCGAAGTTCCCTACCAACAGGCCGAAGTTTCACACTAGGCTGCCCTTTAGGCACTACCGACGTCAGCCCCGACTTCTTGTTTGCGACAGCACACAACAACAAATCGTCTAAACACAACGATTGCATTGCCCCCGGTGCCGGTGGCCCCTCTGGTAGTCTCTCTTTCTTTCGTTGGGGCTTGAGGGGTTGCCCCTCTCCTCGCCATGTGCACGCCCCCTTGCTCCGCTGTCTGTTTCTGCTTCAAGCCGGGGGGCGAAGTGTTCCTCTGCTGATCTTTCATTATTTCATTCTTTCTTGGGGGCTTGAGGAGCGAACCCCCGGCACAGTCTGCGCGTCCCGGATCTCCGAGCAGAAGGTATCTGAACTCGTGGGAAGATAGCTGATATCCCCATAATGGCCCCCGTCCGCGGGAAATACAAACCCTTCATGCGAGTAGCACGGCAGGTCATTGCTGCCCAAAATGGTGGCCAGCCGGAGGGAAAAACATGCAAGGCTGATCTCTCTCTTTCTCTCCCTCCCTCCCTCCTTCACCCTCACCACGCACGGACTCCCCGCGAC